TTCCTTAAGCAGGATTAAGTCGTCCGTCTGGCTAAACAAACTGACACCTTTCGAAAGGTGTGCCTAGAACCTTCATTCAGCCATTGACACGTCTGCTTAGTTTTGTTCGCTGCAAATTTTTGTTAGCTTATCATCTTGATCTTCCTTCTCATTCCGTCAATTATTTGCGGATCATTCTGACTCTTGTCTGGTTTCGCGGTACTAAAAGTAGTCTCCCTTTCATAAGATAGGCAGAATGATGCAAATAAGTCTCCAAAGATAGAGTGGACAAGCCTATTTCAGTCGCCGAACCTTCAATATTAACCTTTGCACTCCTGCCCCTATCTTGACCTACGGGTTCTGCACATTGTTTGACTTGTTATTATCCTCTGCGCCTGATACTTTTATAGGATTTGTTGTTTCAAATAAGGTTTATTATTGAGCTTTCTACGCATCTTTAGACCATTGCCAAACGCTTGACGCAATCAAAACAAACAATCCCGCACTACTACCTGACAGTTGACGTTCAGATTGATGAACTCATGAAACTTCGCTCCGATTTGAATGATTCCATCGCGAAACTGTCGAAGGGTAAGGAGGAGAAACCGGCCAAGATCAGTGTCAACGACATATTCATTAAGGCTATGGCCCACGCCAGTCTGTGTGTTCCTGAGTGCAATTCAGCCTGGCACGGCGATTTCATCAGACAGTAAGTTTTTTGATTATACGGGCAACATCTTGACCTTTTGTGACGCCTTGTGCAGCCGTTTTTCCTTATCAAGGGTAGTTGCTCCAAAATTATTAATTCTTCCTTTACCGTGTTAGACGTTTCGCTCCCCAGGATGATGTACATAACGGAAAAAATAATCCTAGTATGCGTTTGATAGCTTAGCATTGCTAGAATTGTCTTCACAATAATTGCATTTACACGGTAGAATAGTCTGCCTTGGCATATGGTTCCTCCGAGGATTACGAGGATAATCAACGGTTAGCCTCCCAGTGGGCGCTTGACGTCGTCATTCGCACATGCACACCTGGGTAGTTTTTCTTTATCCAAAAATTGATTGGTCTGTTCAAATGAGGCTTTCCCACGTGATTTTAGCTGTTGTAGCGAATACGTTGATTTATATTCCGTCAAATCATTGACTGTACCTCGATCATTCCAGAGGTTTTGGAAGTAGGCTTTCCAGGTAACACTGGCATCTGAATCCTTTAATTGATGAATATGCTCATTGCATTTCAGGTACAACTCTGTTGATGTGTGCGTGGCTGTTGCGACACCAGACGGTCTTATCACTCCCATCATCTTTGGCGCTGAAAAGAAGGTAATTCTCCCGCCCACCCCCTACCAGCCTATGGCCTATCGCTTGATTTTTGGCCAATGTCATTGTCTATATTCTTTTACTTTTATTTAGGGCATCTTTACAATCAGCCAGGAAGTGAAAAGCTTGGCTGCCCGAGCCAAAGCCAACAAACTCCGTCCCGAAGAATTCCAGGTAATCATGACTGTCTTTGTCGTATTTGGAATCGCTGTTCCGACATAGTCGCTGACTTCGAATTCTTATCCAAAATTGTCGATATGCTATTTTTGTCCAGGTATCTTCTGTGTGATGTTTCTCGTCACCGAAGCGGACATCTACGGATCGCAATTCTTTGACATTTGACATTTTGAGTGGGGGGATGCGGTTTAATCCGCTTAGCAGCGCCCATGTCGCGACAGGGATAGAGTCTTTAATGAGGTCATGGTTTGCCAGACCCGTCGGTGAATTGTTAGGTGCAATCCCAAGCATACCATTTTGTCTATTGTTGCTGTTCAATTTCTTCAGTAGCAAACCAGTTGCTTTGTAAACGAGGCTATCCATATTACTAGCACTCTTTCCATCAACTCTAAAATGATTTACGGTGCTGGTTTAGGATAAGTTTCAGATCACCCTTGAAATAGCGGTGGGTACTTCATGATTTTCAGTATTTTCGATCGACTGTCCTCAAATGTAGATTCTCTTCTATGTGTTTATCTAAACCATATTAAGAGCATTTACGAAACAGTGACTTCTCAAACATTCTTTCTACTGTGAATTACCGTTTAGATCATATCTCCAGCCTCCCACGATGTGAATATCCACAAAGAACTTTGGCAATGAATATGCCTTAGATCAATTAAAAAAAAAAAAAAACTAGAATACGTAACCTCTCTGGAAAGCGGCCTTAATTAGGTATTTCGCTGGCGCATATCTGTCTATTTTGTTTGTTTCTGAGGTATCTTCCAGGCAAATCGGCTTTTTGACTTCCCTGAAAATTATTGATAAAGTTGCTACTGCAAATGAAGGAACTCACATGTTCGTTTTTTTCGAAATACTCTATTCATTGCCTCCTAGGCATTATCTTTGATTGTAATGAATGCGGTTGTTAACAACGAGGAAGCTGTATGGTGCATAGTGTCACAGTACTGATAGTACTCGTAGAGTCCGCTTATAACATTTCCGTTTGTTCATTAGCACTGAGATGCGCTCATTAAACTCCGAGGAAGAGCAACAGCTGTACAATAAAAAAAGGGGACCGCGACTGAAATTGCCAAGATAGTGTTCTACGGTGAATGTTCTGTTTATTGGTTCGCATAAAAGTTAATATTCTTTTTTTCCTTCCTTTAGGGTGGCTCCATCACAATTTCCAACCTGGGCATGTTTGGAATTTCGTCCTTCAGTGCTATCATCAATCCGCCACAGGCCTGCATTCTTTCCATCGGTGGAGCCAGAAAGTGTCTTGTCCCTGACGAGCACTCTCATGATGGGTACGAAATTCACCTGCCTTCTCTTTACATGACAGCGAAATATGCAAGACCTCTTAATGCAAAAATATCATCAGTTTACTGGACATTAAGCCTGACTCCGTAATACCGCCAGCCAACACTACCAGTGGCATACATATCCATTTCGGATTTGTCTACTTAAATTTGAGGGGAAAATTTCGGTATGACTGTACGGTAATTAACGTCGCTACAAATTAATTTTGACGATAACTCTGTGATTAGACAGCCACGAGCCGTGCGGCAGTGTTATTGGAGTGCCGCAGCTGCGTATCGATCGACCGGTACCATGACATGGCTGAGGTTAGTAACCTCAAAAATGTCTAATGCACCGTTACTATCTCACCATATTATAGTAGAATTAAGTGATGTAGAAGACAATTTAGAAGAAGGCCACATAATAATTGGAGAAAACAAAAAGAACCAGGACTTATCGTACTTCTACATGGTACTTTTGTCCTTACGTTTGAGCGTCCGTCGAGACGGATGCGCTCCAAGGTCCTTGAACTGACAGCTGCTGATCCAAGTGTATGACTCGCTCTAACTAACCTTCGATGATGACTGATAGCATCCGCGAACATTTTTCCTGCGATCTATTATTTCCAACACGTTGCCTTTCCAAGGTATACTTTCGTTTGGGGGACTCAAGGGGTCTAGAGTCTGCGAGGGCGATTTACCTTACCCTATCAAAGATAGATACACCGTGAAAGTAATCTTAGTCTTAATCTTCATATCCCGAGAAGCAGGCAGTGCTCCCCTGAAATTGGGGATTATACAATGATTGAAATGCGTGGTCGCGAAATCACGGCGAGGGCTTCTTTATCACCGTTCGTTCCAGCCTTCCGACTTCTGACCAGGTAGTACGAGAAACTTTCTGTCACCGGCCCCAAAACCTTATTCTGCTATTTCACCGTGCTTTACATATAGTTCTTGGTAATTGGTTTAGTAATGACATCTACGCCCCCTGAGTCTTGCATAATGCTGTCACTTTCCGTCGATCATATTTCAACCCACGTATTACTACTACCAGGCGTTTCACTAGTTTACGTGACTCCTACCGAATTAAAGTTTCCTCCTTGAATTTCTCAGTGGCTGTTAGATTTTGAGTGCCGTTCTAAGTGACGTTTTTGGCAGATTTGAATAATTCACCATATCCGGTTACTATTATGCGTTGAAATTCTACCGAGACCACGAAATTTCCACACTTTATTTCTACGAATATCAGGTAGTGCGGACTGGTCTTGCCGAGTACTGGTACATGTGTTACCCAAGGCTGGGTTTCTGCACTACCTACTTCTTTTCAGTCACTGCATTATTTTGGCCTATCCAGTTTTTGTGATACTGATGCTGTTGCTCGAATACTCGACAGCATTTACTAGGGGTCAGGAATCCGTAAGAACTTGGAAGTTTTGGATCAAAGAGGCAATCTAAAACGATTCAGCCCCAGTCATCCTAGTACCGTCATACTACCAGTTTAGTCAATGTCGGTTCTTAACTCAATCCGGTATTTTTTAAAGGCCATGATTTTTACTTTATAAGCAGCATTGAGAAATGCATAGACAAACATTTTCTGATCTATAAATATCATGGTTAGAAACTTTCTGAAAATTGTAATACCCTTTTTTCGGGTATAAAATTTGAAGACACGATTTGCTACGTTCCAACGATCACATCTGCTTCTTCTAAATAGCTAAATTTCAACAAATGGAAGATGAAGTGTGACTCGCTTGCATGGGGCTGTTAATGTAAATGCATGAGCAAATGCATCGACTTCATTGCAAAGTTTACACCTGGTGATAAGCGCATTTTTACCTCTGTAACCGTAGCCCCCACCACGGTGTCAGCTCCGGACTCCACACGGACCACCGGCATTTAGAACTGCACTCCATTACTTCTTATTTTTGTACAAGGTAATATATACATATTTTTTAGGTATTACAAAATAATGGATATTTTAACCTGGTCCCTGTATTTTCCCTTTGTTCCTAGCTATCGGTCCGCGACGATGGTGTCCGTTACCCTCGGCTGTGATCACCGGGTTGTCGACGGAGCTGTTGGTGCCCAGTGGCTAGCTGAGTTCAAGTCCATGATAGAGTGTCCGGCCCGCATGTTGATGTAAAGACATATAGGAATCGGTTGCATTTCTTCTTCCCACTGGCTTTGTTCTCGTGTGTGCTGCGCTGACCGCCAGTGATCTGCTGCTAGTCGAAACGCGGCTGTCGCGGCCTGCGTTACTTTCTAATAGCTTTGCGGTTTTTATTAGTTGTTTTCATTCTTTTGAGCCTTTCTGGCTCATTAAGCGCCAGTTTGGAGATGTGATGCCAGTAGGAACAGTTGTTGTTTTGGGTTTTTTTCCCCGACTACTAAAAATATCTTTATATAATATGCCCTTTGTTCTCAATTAATCCGCTATTGATGATGCGTTCTGGCCTTTAATTCCCTCATCTCGCTGACTCACTAGTGTGTTCAGGTATTGCCAGCTGTTGTTATTAAGTTATTCTGGTTGTAGGAGCAGTTAAGTGGGGGATGTCAATCCTTACTACTGGGAATGGACTGCTGGCTACCAGACCTGCTTTTTGGTCATCGAATCGCTGCTGTCACATGGTAATTTTATCGCTAAGGCCATCAGTCTTGATAATTTTGTTTGCGGGATAGTTCTGTCTCGCAGATTTCCCGCAAACAAGATGAGTATGAGACAGCCACTACTTTGGTTGCTTGTGCATGTATTTGTTGTCTACAGGGATATTTCCGGTTACAGAACCCGACGTCACCCAAAGTAGCGTAGCTTCCACTTTCCCAGGGTGCTTTCTTCTGAGGCGTTGGGTTCGCAACTTAAAACTAGGTGCAATCGGGAATAAAGCCCGGTGACTAATTCGGGAAACCTAGTTGTTGGACGCACGGCGCGAACAGTGCCAATCTGACCGTGGTTGAACCAGTCGTCAAGGCACTGGGTTCTGCAGGCTGCATTTGCAAGCACCGCTTTTGGCAGTCACAAGAGGGCATGGCTCCGGGTAACTCCTACGCACACTTTCAGTGAAGTACGAGTCCGATCGCTTGTTGCTTGATGCGTTATATCATTTGTAACAAAAGAAATGTTTCCTCGTAGTTGATCCACCAAACTGTTCTGGTGCCTTGCTGTGGACAAATGAGACCTAGTCTTCAATTTGTGAAGGGCGCACCGTGGCGACGAGTTGTGTTGATCTCAAGTCCCAGTTCGTGTTACTTCACTATACATTTGGATTGTTTACTTAAGCTAATTGTTTTGCTGATACTAGTCGAATCGGAACGTCTTTTTAAAATCGGTCTTGTCGACGGTACCTATAGGTCCAGGGCAAGGTCTGGTCGGGCGGTCGCTGGAAGCATACCGAATGAGTTGGTGCTATATTCGCCATAGGTAGATGTTGAATTCGTGAATACTTGCTGTCTGGCCCGATAGAATGTTACAAATGCTATTATTTTTTAATGATTTTTACTCTAAGTACTGGTTCTTCCATCGTGGCCGAGGCCTTTTGGTTTGTCTGAGCAGTCAGTGATAAGTATTTCATA